TCTTTTATTATAAAATCGGGACAAATTTTTATTTATTCGGCTCTAGATTCAAAACTGCCCATGTAATTACAATTTTACTCAACTGTACAAATCATACTCTTGTTCATTGTTTGTAATAAAAGCAATTCTTTGTAAATTAAAACTTGTAATTTTTGAAAATAAAAATATACTCTTCCAAATGACGAGAAATAAAAACAATTCCAAAAAACCTTAGTTTTAATAAATAAAAAAACTATGTAAATGCAATGCAGAAAGTATTTCTAATAGAGTACTTGATAGTAGAACTAGAATAGAACAAACCAAAGAAAAATGAAACTCGAAACTGACAGGTTATGTAAGAACACGATGCAGGAAGGAAACTTTGGGAGTTCTTGAAATGTACCCCAGGAATACATTTTATTACATTAATACTGTATTCTTTAAAACTCCTTTTCCGAAATATTTGCGAAAAATGTTTCCTGAGAGTTAATTAATTAGAAGCGCAAGTTCTAAGTATGTATCTCAAATTTTCTTTATAGTTGAAGGGCAATATTTCAATTCCCGCGCGTTTTTGCTCTTCTAATGGCGAATTTCTCGGGATTCAATGTGGCAGTACGTTTCGCTCCCGACCGCTACGGGGTGGAGGGGCCCTGGAAGATGCGACAGGACACATCAAAGCGAGCGAACATTCGCCAAACACATCAGCTGTTAGAGACTGGGTGAGCAGTAGCTCACTGCTCGCTGCTCGGCGAATGCCGAATGTGAGGAGCCGCCATTCGGCGGATTTTTTTATACGCGGAGGTAGTAGTGGTGAACAAGTGCTATGGCAAAACGCAAAGAACAAACGTTTTAAATTAACTAAAGTAAAATAGCTTGAAATAAAGCGGTACCTGGAAGACTACATTAATGCCAAGCTGTAAACACATATTGTAAATAATACGCCATTTGATATTAAACGTTAGGTGTCGGTTAGTCTCTATAATAGTAAATAAACCTTCATTGAAAATGTTTCCAACGTCTATTGCATTGTTTTTATTTTTGTTTGACATTGTGTAAGTACGAAGGTACATTTACACATCTTTTAAACAAATAAATGCGTTTCATTGACTACTTTTCTTCTTAATGAAAGGGATATTGATAGTGAAAGGGAAGGGATTAACATGCAAGAGTTATCGTACGGGTACGCGTGATGCCTTATTTTACGTGGCGAGACTCAGGCCGTGATGCTCTTCCGTCTGACCACACATATTTTGTTACGGTTTTTTCACCATCTATCGAAGAAAGAAGGTATTACTGGGTATTAATTTAAATAAACTAATTAATGAAAAATATTAATTATATAATAAGGAATTGAAAGGGCTCTTGTTAATGATCCATCGACATTTCGGGCCCTTACTACCAAAAATGTTTAAAGGTAGTAGAATACCATTACGCTTATCATATACAAATAAAGTATCATCTGATCCGGTTGTTAACGTTAAAACCTTTCTAATTTTTTTTTCAGAATAATATAATAAATTATTGACTTCTTTGTATGATGTTGGAAATATTCATGATTAAATGGGAAATCAGGTTTTCTTTGATTATGAATATGTTTTGAAAAAACTTAAGAGAGAGTCTGAAAAATTGTCATCCGGGACAGATGAGATCCCAGCTTTGTTTTGAGTCATTGTTTTAAAGCTCTTGCGTTGCTCCTGTTTCTGATTCTTGCAACAATTTGTAAAGTTGGAGTTTATCCTAATCTGTAAAACTTTATCCTTACTCAAAAATGGTGAGCGTAACTTGATAGAGAATTACCGCTCTATTTCACTCTTATGTAATTTTTCAAAAATGATTATGTTTGATGCAGGATTTCTTGTACTCCGCTTTTGCTCCAGTTATATCTGATCATGAATTTTTAAAAAGGCGTTCTCCAGCTTCAAACTTAATGACTTATTCGCAATCTTTTTCTAATTTTCTTAGTGAATATGAATAGATTGATGTAGTATATACATACTTTACAAAAGCGTTCGATACTCCTGATCATGGTAATCTAGTAGATAAATAACGAATAATTGATATTCCGGAGAATTATTTGAAGCTTCTTTCATTCCGTACAATTCAAACCGTACAGTACACAGGTTATTATTCTGACTCCTATTTTCGTTTAATAGGTGCACCGCAAGGTTCTAATCTACGTCTTCTACTTTTTGCCATTGTTATTAATGATATTGGTAATGGTTTAACGTCATATATTTTGATTTATGCTAATGATATCAAGTTATTCTTGCCAATTACCTTGTAACGGGATAGTAGTGTAGTTCAGAATAATTTAAATATTTTTTAATTGAATTGTGTTAGTCTTAAACTTGCTCTAAATCCCAGTAAAGGTAATGACGTGTCATATTACATATCATCACCAATAAAGAATATTCAATTAATTACATAACTTTATAATCAGTTCACTTGGCAAGGAAACTGGGGGTTATTTTTGACCGTCAGCTGACATTTACAGCATATATAGAGACTCTCCTATTGAGAGATGAATAAAACATTTGGTTTTCTCATGAGATTGGGAAAGAAAATGTAATCCATGTACGTTTTAAAATCATTATTTTTTGCGTTTGAGATCTTAATTAGAATACGCTTCGGTAATATGGTTACCTGATCGTAAAGGACTTCAAAAAGATCTAGACAATTGTCAGAGATAATTCATAAAATATTTAGAATTTCGCGGTACTGCCAGTTATCCGACATGCAGAATCGACAATGATTATTTATTATCAAAATTTAGTCTCGTATGTTTAGCCGATAGAAGACATTTAGTTCTCTTCACATATTGAGTATTACTTTTAGTCCACTGACACACGGAATGATTTCATTGTTGATTCCGCAATACGCGCATCGTTCTGTGAGACCATTTTATAATATTGCGTCAAATGTTAGGAATTCAAGTAAAATCATTTTTTATAGAATGGTCTCAAAAGTCAACAAATTTGTAATGTGTGCTGAGCGTGACATTGATATCTTTGCTGACTCGATAGTGACTGTGTGCAATACAGCCGTGAACTTCACGTACAAAAATATATTAGCTCATTTTCTTTTCCATTTATTATAACCAGTCGCCATTAATTGTAATTTTATTTGATTTTAGTTCATTTTTTGCATTTATTTGAAGTTACTTTAATTTTTACATTATATTACTTTGTTAAATGATTTGATCTTTCTTAAATATAAGCTTATCATTGTATATATCCCGCTGGCTTTGTAGAATATAAATAAATTTTAAAACATTACGTGAGCAACGAAACAGGCCATTTAAATTTAGCTCAGAGTCTTCATTGAGGCTTGAGGATCTTTTACATGCAGTAAATGCATCTTTTACACCCAAACATTACTTTGTTCTATAATTCAGGGACGCAGAAAAATCGTTGACTATTACAAGTATATCTACCGCAAGTTTGAGATGACATAACTTCTGAATAATCTTAGGGTTGCCGGGTCTGCTTCCAAAAAATAACGAACAAGCGCACGGGGGTTAAGAAGTATTTCAAAAAATACAATTAAATTATATATTTTTATACAAACATTTTAATATATTAAAATAATCACTTCAAACCTATTTAACATTCAAAACATCATATATATTAAAATAATATGTAAAATATTAAATTACATTTTACGTTGCTGTCATGTGTATTTTTTATTTGACTGCTCAGCTTTGATCTATCCTTTGTGTTTAAAGATTTTTTAAAATTTCGTTGAGATTTTTTTAAAGCGTTCAGAAATATCTAAAATTGAAACTTTGGGAATTAGAGCATTGCACATCAATGGGTTAAATCTTATCTTGCAAATCGTTGTGAAGTAGTCACAATCAAGCATGTTAGTGAAAAGATTTCTACACGTTTTTTCCAACCTAGAATGATAAACTATGGAGTGCCGCAAGGATCAATCCTAGGCCCTACACTATTTCTATTATACATCAATGACATGCCCCTTATCTTATAAAAGAGAAAAATGGACCTATTTGAAGATGACACAAACATTATTATTAAAGCAAATACCCAACAAACTTTACAAAAAGAAGCACAAATAGTCGTAGAGGCACTAGTAGAATGGTTCCAGGAAAATAAACTCATCATAAACACAGTAAAAGTGTCTCCCTAAGCGTTCGGGATCGACTCTAAAGAAAAACTTCCAGCACAATTGATGATAAAAAACATGTCTGCAAAAATAGCCCCCAAACAACTTTCCTTTGATTGATTATTCAAGATGATCTGAAATTGAACTCGCGTATCACAGATCTAAACAACTAGCATACCAAGTCATATTATGCTATGTACATCATGACGTCAAATTCTAACTTAGATGCACTGCGAATGGAGTACTTTGCAAATGTTCACTTGCACCTCAAGTACGGAATTGTATTCTGGGGAAATTTCCCAGAAGTTTTGGAAGAAGAAATCCAAAGAAATAATTATAAACGTTGTCATTGCCAACAATAGTATTTATTACAAGAGTAGCTTTCGATGGCTTAGCCATCATCCTCAGTTGTCTGCTGAATGGAAGCCACAAAAACGAATAGTAGTCGTTTATATTAGTGGGAATTTTAAATGCAGCCAGATACCAAAATTATTGCATATCAAGACATTGAAACATATTTATGAAGCATTTCTTTTAAATATTGCATCTTGTACACCTTATCGTGTTATTTTTGGTTGTTTACTGTAAAAATTGTCACTTTGTAGCACTTTCAAAATGTTTCTTACCACATCTCGCTCTTCATGCAACATGGCGGCCAGCGTCGGGTCTGGCTTTTCCAGTGAATAGGTAGGGTTACCAGGTCTCCACTATTTGAGCGGACAGTCCGCTTTTTCCACATTATGTTCGCTATTTTTCACACAATAGTGGACATTTTTTTAATTCAAAATTGTTTGATAAAATGGTACGTCATTTAATGCTGTACAATCTAAGAGAATAAGTGTAGGAGAATCGCATTTTGTCTTTTTTTCATAAGTGAAGTTTCATTAATATATATCTGTGTGTGTGTGTGTGTGTGTGTGTGTGTGTGTGTGCGCGCGTGTGTGTGTGTGTGTGTTCTTTGTATCTCTGGTCTTTATAAGCAAGCTTATAAGCAATAGTATATTCATTCAGTAGTCTATGGCTTATTTATATGAATATGGCAAGTTAATTTTAATTAGGATTTATGTGAGGTTAGGATGAAATAAAGAAATCGAAAAAAAATATCCACTACAATAAATAGTATATTATTAATAACATATTAGGAAATTCCAAATGTATCATTAAAACCAAATATCTCATTCAGAAAATTGGCAAAATTTTCTGGTTTTCCTGATGGAAAAGGCTTTAAGGAATTTACATTCATGTGAACCAGAGTTTCTTTCAACTCACTGCAAGTGCAGTAATAAGCATGTTCCTTGGCAAAAAGTTGCTTTGCAAGTTCTATCTGATGGTTGTTCATAAGCATTTCATTTACCACTACAACTAGAGGTTTTTTAGCTCCAAGAACTTCAAGACAACTTCCTGCTCCAGCATGACTTAACACCAGTGACGAATCTTGAATATCTTGAATTATAGAATCTTTAAATCGAAAATATTCTACGTCCATGCCTTCAATACATCCTACTTCTGGAATGTTTCCATTCCCAATTTGCAGAAGTAATTTCTTATATCCGCGACGCTTCAAAATCTGAAACAAAATATTATTTATGATGAAAGTTTTACAACGTAATACAAACGGAACTGTCGTCTGCTAAGAAAATAAAATGAAATGGATAAAATTTTAGAGGGATCTTCCACAACTTAATAAGTTTGGGGCCCTACTATTTTTAAAATGACACTTCTTGCAAAGTGGAAGTATCCTAACCAAAGTGGAAGTATCCAGACCACAAATAAGACTTTATGCAATAATAACTGAATATTTATTTAGTGTTGGGAGATGAAAATTATAACCAATCTCAAGAGCACTTCATTCTGTTAAGATCAATAGTTTTTGTGCATGAGATGTAATAAATTATTTTGACTTGGCGTTCACATTTCCATTTTAGCCATGTATCTGTTCCAACTTGTAGCTCAAGTACCGCGAGATATTAATTCCAACTCTGTAACTCAATTCTTGAAAAACGAGGGAGACGCTCTTAAGAGCAAATACTAGAGATATATAGTATACAGACTGTTTAGACTAGAGATCCCCTTCCCCCACTGAAGACAGAAAGCGTGCTCGAAAAAAATCCACTTTCAAAATCATCTTTCACATTTTTCACTCTCAGGAGTATCTTCAATCGCAACCTAAATTCAAACGAAATTGAAAATCCAACGTGATTATGGACTTGAGTAACAGAAATACTTTGATGTGCGATGCACATTTACAATTACGAAGTGCAATGCAAACATCGGGGTATTGTCAAAATTCACTTAATGTAATAATTAGGAACAGACATGTACTGAGTGTGTTATCTTCTTCAGTAGTATACAACGTTCTTTGTTGAATTCGTTGTTTTGTAATATTTTCAGTTGTTTTCGTATTGTCTCGTGTGCTGTCAACATTACTGTCCTGAGTTATCTGTAAATAATTTGTCAGTGACGTGTGCAGCACGGTCCTACGTTTTGGTTTGCTTCAAGGTGCATTTGGTGTAGCCAGGCGCCACCCACCGAGAGGCGATTCAGGGTGACAATCACATGGCTATTCTGTGTAACTCTACGCGAGCGACGACGTATGCAGAAGACACAAAGTAACCAATGTTAGTGCCGGTATTCTGGATAAAACAAGCAAATTGTAAGTGCCCGAGGGCCACTATTCTAGCTCACTTACGCGCGATACTTCAGCACTGCAAACAGTGGATATAAATAGGTCAAATTTTGTTGTTCCCACAGTCACTAAAACCTGTCCAGTCGCCATTTTGGCACACACATCGCAAAGGCTTGTGGTTTTCCGAGGAATGGTATTGAATTCCTACAATCTAGGTGAGTAGGCGTTATCTAAAGGTAAAAATTGGAAGTTTCTGTTAAATTATTGAGTTTCTGGTTAATATACGATTTCGATCAGACATTATATTGCAGTGGCACTGAGGACTGTGGGTAACTTATACTTCCATAACTTCATTTAGTGACAAGTTATAGGTCCAGCTTCCTTAAGATTTGTACGGTTATGTATGTTAATCTAAAGTTTATAGAATTAATATACTTTTGTGAAATATATAGGGTTTTAATTGCAAGCATGGAATAGCCTCGAGTGTTTCGCGACACAGATTGGTGATTGAAACAGGTAGTTGACATTGAAATATGTTTGTAAGAAATGTCATGCCCATTAGATAGTCTCAGGGTTAGCCTCGGAGATTTCGTTTTGTTTTCGATTGTAAGTACATTAAAAGTTATACTCATCTCGCCTTAAATAAGGCTAACACCTACCATTTTGAGAAGGTTAGAAACCTTTAATTTTGCTGTGTACTGTTTTACATATCAGATTACTTGCAAGTATGGAAGGAGGTAGAATAGTAAGTCAAGATAACTTAGTACTCATTCATGCAATATAATTAGTAAATGTGTTACCCAATGGATGTCTGTCTGCGAAAGAGTATGAAGAGAACTTCGTAATTCTTTTCTCGGAAAAGAAATCTTTTCAGTGCTCAATTTTTATCAAATATTGAGAATTGTTTATTATTTTAATCTAATTCATATTAAGGTCCATTTTTACTTTCAATTCTTAGTCCAAGGTTTATAACTTACTCTAGTGCTAGGAATGTACAGTGAGTTTGGTAGAATGAGCTAAGCCGAAGAATCTTGCTTTTTGTTATGGTATTCACTTTGCCCAAAGCCATAAATTATTAGAATTCAGATAATAGTTTGTATTAGAATTAATAAACGGTATATCATATTATTTATAAGAATTGATAGGTAATATTCTTAATTAAAAAATTATGTATTAGTTTATCATGACACATTAATTTTCAATTTAATAAAATTATAACAACAGTCCATGTTACTTTTTCATTTTCAATATTATTTTCTGTGAGCAACAGGAACAAAAGGTTTCAATTTTTAGTCATTTCACTGCTTTCACATTTACGAACATTGTTTTCGGGAATAGTGAATGTTGTTTTAGGTGTAATAGTTCTTTTGAAATGAAATGATTTGCACATATTGTTTTTTAAAATTTCTGTTCTTATTTTAATGGGAAAATGAGCTAAAATTACAATTTGATTGGGTGTGGAGAATTTCACCTTCAGTGTTAAATTGTCTGCAACTTTCTTGAATATATTTATGGTGAAAATTCTGGCTGTTATATTGAGCAGACTTGGATACAGAATATTGTAAATCACTTGATGTACTATACAAAACCTAATTTATTTGAAAACATTTGATGTTAATGATGTTCACGGCACATTTGTTTCATGTAAAAATTCCAAGAGTGTTACACCCTATTGTCAATTGCAACATTTTGAGGTGTGATGTACCTCATAGCTTTTGGCTGAAAATAAGTGTACGTTCTGAGATATGAGTGAAAAATACATAAAAAAATCCAACAAATTTTATGTATTATACCATTAAAAATGAAATTTTGTGTTTTTTTCTGTAAGTTGTACATATCTAAAAACTTGCACTTCTTTTCAGCTTAAAGATGAGGTTCAAGAGAGTGTAACACCCTTAGAATATGTACATATAACAAATGTGCAGTGAACATAATTTATAACATAAATGTTTTTAAATAAATTAGACTTTGTAGTGTTACACTAATTTACATTATACTGTATCCATGCCCGCTCAATATATTGGTAAAATTGCTCTCAATTAAATTTCATCTTTAGTTGTGCATACGTACATAGATCAAATATTTGCAAATAATATCTCTGCTTTAATTAATTTATTTAATATTAAATTTGGTAAAAATTGTGTGTGGTAGTATAAATGCTGTATCAAAGCGATTGTAGGGGTGTTAAATTTCATATTTAGGCACCTGACTTCCTTTGCTGGTCAAGGATTCCATTATTGGATGTGCAGTACAATTTCAAAGATTCATACACAGTTTGATTTATTTAGTGAGGAAGCGTATGTAGCTGAGAGTAGATGGATAGATGATGGAATGGATCGAATTTTCGTTTGGCCACTTTCTTTTTGTAGGCACTGTGAGAGAGGTGCTAAAGGTGGGAATACTTGAATTTGGCATAAAATGCATTAGAATTTTACAAATTCCTAAATTGAGGTGGTGTTTGGGTACCTCTTAATAAGATAAATACTTTCACAAACAACACGTGAAGTGGCCAAGCTAGAGCAGAGTTTAATCAAAGAAAGAAATGTATTGCACAAATTTGTTGTGGTTTAAAAAGTTGTTTAAAAAACATTGTTTTTTAAAACTGTTTTGCCATTACAAGTTATGAGAATTGATAGCTATTTAATCACATTTGTCATTAAATTTAAAGATTTTTATTGTTCTATGAACGTGGGATTTGAGTTTTTAATTTACTGATATTAATAATATAAAATACTGTTCTGGGAAAAAACAAATGAGTAATGGAAATTTTAAATAATGTCATGTAATGCTGTTCGTTTGGGTTACCTTTCTACCTTTTCATTTAAAGATGGAATATTCACTCTCACCGTACTGCAAAATATTAAGTGTGTCTAATGCACTTGTACATTTCTGCACTTGTGTTATTTTTATAAATGAAACAAAATTTGTACATATTTATCAAATCGATATGATCAGATAAATGTTTGTTACTGTTTTTCTGTTGTTATCAATTTTGATGAAGATTAAATATATTGTAGGAGATGGTGAAAGTTGTAGACTACGTAAAAACTATATCATTTTGATTATCTCCCAGGTCTTATTTTTGTTAGTGTACATGCTAATTATTTGGAGGGACCTGGTTATTGATTGTATTGATTAGGATGGTAACAAAGCAACATTGTTAATACATTTCTTTTCCTAAGAAAATGAGTTTTATAAAGAATCTCTCAGAGCACTTTCACTACAGAAATGAATAAAAGCAACAGGGCAAGTGTTCTAATCAAACCTTAATGCCCTGTCTAATATTAACATTTGTAAAAAAGTGATTCTTCATGAAACATAGAATAGAATTTATGCTTTCTGGATTGATAAATTTTATTTCAGTCTTTATAGCAATTTTTTTAAAATTAGACGTAATAATTAGTCATGTTTATATTTTTTTCATAACGTGCAACTTTACAGTTTACATTCTTGAACGTAGGTCTGGACGTCTCTCAAGAAAGGAATTGAAATTCGTGAGTTTTTCTGAAATAAATGTTACTATAAAATGGTGGTATTCCAATGAAAGTATCAATTGTATCAAAATTTATTTTAAATCAATGGAAGGTTTTTTCAGCACTTAAGTATTCCTTTTTCAGTTTACCGATTTTGTGATTTTTAACAAAAGGTCGCTTGGATTTGATTTCAGTTGAGGTTGATCAGATTTTTCACCTTGGAAGTACCATATTTCTTAAACACATTTTTACTTTTTTTATTACAACAATTTTTTTTTATTTTCTGTTTCAATATGGAGATGCTTACTGGTTTTTTGTCTGTACTCTATCACTTGTCACTGTCTGTTCTCTTACACTTGTTTTATGATGTACATAATGAAATATCTTAATTTGATCTAATTCTTGCAACTCTTGAAAAAAATGAAGAAAGATACTTTGTTGAAGGTGAAACATTTTATTCAGAGAACTTGACGGAATTATGAAGAAACGTCAAGAAAAAATTTAAAGTACATGATGCAAGTAATTTTTGTGCAAATAACAGATAAAGCATTCTTAGCAGTTTTCTTATTGATATCTTGATGAATTTTGTTTGTTGCCTTTTATTCATGTGTTGGATAGGATGGATGTAAGAACTTCTACAATCTGTTGTGTTTTTGGTATTTGGTGATTGTTCATTCACTTAATATTTTCAAAAAACAACTTGTAACTTTGTTTTTAGTTTCTAGTGAAAATTTTCTTTGGCAGATATGTTTGTTTGTTTTGTGTATAGATCCATTCCTTGGCTTATGCTACAATTTCAAAAATGTCAATTTCTCCCCGTATGTTGTTTTATTAATCTTTGTTCCTTTTTTTAATGAGCATGGTGTTGGCACATGGAAAATTTATTTTATGTTTTAAATCACACTAAACAGAATAGGATTCATTTGTGTTTATCAAAATGATTAAAACATGGAAAAACAACTGAAGAAACAGCTAAGGCAATGTTTTTATATTTTATTGTATATATTGGTAATTGCCCCATGTTCCCTTCATACTGTCACTTGTGCCCCCTTTCCCTCTCTCCCTCTTTTCAACACTCATCCTCATCATCCACCATAGTTTTTTAAATTGGTTATCATTTTGTGCTCTTGGTTAAGTATCTAGTAATTAGTGGGCTTCACAGTTAAGTATCATTACCTCCTTTTTGATTTTACTGTCTTTCCATTCGTTCTATTCATTGTGTAAAAGCTCTGGTCTCTGTTCAAACGTAGTTTATTTCCTGATACATCAAATCACAGAAATTCTTGATATAGTGAGTAATAATAATAAAAAAATGAAGTTCTTAATGCATTATTTTTATTGGCAAAATAGTTATTTTTTCAGAATTTTTGCAATATTTTTTTGTTGTTTTTTGACTTTCTTACCAATTATAATGTAGATGATGGACATATGCAGATATAAAAATACTTAGATACATATTTGTGCCTCTTTCTTTTAGTGATGCAAATGTGATGTAGATATATTTAAAAAGTATTGAAGTTGGAGGACTGTTTGCTCTTCAAATAATAAATACGAGTGAATATTAAAAGCTTTCTTATTTTCATTCAAAAATAAGGGGTTAAAAATTACAAATCTGCAAAAGAGTTATTGTGTGAAGAGATCAGGAATGTTTTGAGCCTTTAACTTGTACTCTTAAACAATGTAGGAATGATTTACATTGCAAGCTTTCTATGAAAATGAAATGCTCTTATTGTTTGAAAAAAACAGCGAAAAAAACAAATCTTATTATTTTCTTATATGTATTTTTTTCATTTAGTAACAATACAAATGATGGATCTCTAATGTACTATTTTGATGTGCTCTGATGAAACAGTTTTGTTTGGTTTTTGGTTCCAGAACTTGGTGTCAATACTTCAATATGAGTTGATTCTTTCTGGTGTTTCACCAGATAGTGTATGCTCATGGAAAACATTAAATCGAAAATATTTAAATATTTTTAACAGGTAAAGACAACTACAGTTCAAAATGGGAAATATGTTTGATGTATTCAGAATAATTTAAATTCAGATATGTAATTCAGTTTGAATTTAATTCCAGTTTTTGAAAAAATTTGGAGTGATGGGTGATAGAGTGACTGCACCGGCTCCCTCATCGAAACATCGACCATGGGAATCAGCCCAAGCCAAGTCATATACAGGACAAGGCGTTGTTGGAAGCCCTACATCTCTTGCAGAGATATTTGACACAGCTTTTTCTTCCTCTGTGGATAGTCCTCATGGAGAAGAATTTCGGGGTGGTTAGTTTGTTCTATGAAACTTCTTCCCAACTAATGGTATATATGGTTGTTTATAGCTGTTCAGCACTGAAATTTTCAGTTGCTATTTAGAAAACACCTTGGTCCCAACATAAAATTTGATAAATGACAAAATTTAGAATAACTAAAAAGTCTCCATCTGCACAGTATTTAAAGATTTTTTAAGTGTATTTAAATTGATGTATGTATAATTGATACAAAATGTACGACGACAATAACATATTTTGAAAATCAAGTTTTTTAAAGTTTGCTTGAAAGTTTAAAGTTAAACTATTTCTTGTGGGAAGATGAATGAACATTTTCTCTTTGTAGTTCACAAAAGATGACTGTTTTTCAAAATTTATGAGAAGTATGTATACCAAAACCTTGTAATTGTGCCAATGCAGAGTTGAGGATTACTACTCAGATCTTCAACAAACAGATCTATGACTAAAATAATGAAAATTTGCAGGTTATAGCATAAGAAATTTCTGCAGCTTGTATTACAATCGTACATATTAGAAAAGGATATATTAAGATCCTTAGGACCAGGTTTTTGTGTCCTTGATAGAAATGTTTTCTGGGGATAGATGGGATCTTATTTTATGCTTAAGCATTTCTACAAAATCTTTTGTAATGAATGTAATATTTTTGGAGAATTAGATCTTCTGCCGACCCCTTTTCTACAAATCAAGTGGACAGATACTAATCGTAATTGGTCTTTGTAAGATAGTTATTTTTATTATATGTTTTTACCTGAATATAAGACAGGGTTTATTCGTAAATATCTCATTTGAAAAGTATGGGATTGTTGTGCATTTACAGATTATGCCTTGTCTGTGAAAATTTATATTTATTATACACAGCCTTCCCATGCCAAGAGGTAATTTAAAAGTTGAGGAAACTATAATCTTCGAAGGCAATAAATATCACACCTATATTTTCATAGAAAAATCTTGAACGTTAATGTTCCCTCCCTCTTTACTTTTGAAATGGAGATGTAAAAGTTGGAAGTTCACAGCTTGATCTCTCGAATATTAAACGATGCAAATTTTAAGTATATTTGGTCAATATCAGAGGTCAAGAAAAAAAGTGCCAGAGAAAGAATATCTTGTGATTCTTAAATGGCATCAGATGAAAGACAAACACAAATTCAATCCCGAAACTTTCTGTGGGGAATAAAAAAACAGAAGACGAGGCAGTACTGCAGCCCAAAAAGAAAGAAACTGTGATGTATGTGACTATAGTGATAAAAACATGATTAGATTTTAAGGAACTAGAAAATGGCCCAAGCGATACTAAGTTTTATCGTTCTCGTCAACAAGATAATTTTCTACACTCGTACAATTTTCAATTTTATGATGACTAAATAGTAAGAATTGATTTAAAAAATTTGAATTCAAAGTTAGGGGGTTGTCTTGTTTTGAACGTCAACTACATTTTAGTAAATATAGTATAATGTGATTATTATTAATATTATTATTATTATTACACAACAGGCTTGGTGGCTATGTAAATAATGTATAAAAAGTAGATGTTATTTGAACTTAATTATTCTTCATAGTTTTGCAACTCTCTATATGACAGTTTGTTTATATTGTATTACTTGAGCTTTATTCGTATATGTTACAATAAAATAAATAATTATAAAAGTAAAAAAAATAATTTTAAAGAACAAACCACTAAATATACTACTAAAATCAAAGTTTCTTTCCATTTTTCTGTGAAAATTAATCTCGATGCTTAGCAGTATTAGAATGTTTACTTGTGCAGAAAACCAGATGTACAGTGCTGTAATGCACAGAGACTTGCCATTCACAGTAGGATCCAGTATGGAGCTACATTAACTTTCAAAATGATTTATAAAGTGCAAAATGTTTTTAAATGCAATATTTAAATGTCTTCGTTTCAAATTGTGTATAAATGAAAATAACAAATTAAAAGCAAATTATTAATTGAGATATTATGACCTAAATAAAGTCAAAACTCAATAGAATACTTTCTGAAACTGCTGTTGAGAGGAACAGGTGCACAAAATACTATTTTTATTGCAGGTATTATTAAAAAATAATATTCATCATTTTGTAAAATTTTACATGTTACATAGGGTCTTATCAAAGAATGTTTTGTGTATTTAACTTCAACCAGTGACTGTCTCAATTATGAAGCTTTGTTTTTAGTATGATGCTGTTTGTAAAATCAAATGTGGTTTTTTAAATTGCATAAGCACATATATTAGAAACACAAGAGTAATTTGCTATTTATTGAAACAATATACAGTAATGAAGTTCACATATTTTTTGGAGTGACTAGTATATAAGTTCAATGGCCATAAATTTTCCAATTCTTGGTTTCAATGTCAAAATCTGATTTAGAAAATAGTTAATTGAAGGAGTATGGGCAACTTCATGATTGCTCCCAATTTTTACACATCTTGAATCCCTCTCCAAAACAATCTTTATTTGATCATTCTATGGAACAACATGTGTACCAAAACCAGTAGGGTTTGAATACACAAACTTATCTTTTTCTTTAGATTATGAGAATGAGGGTTATCATTATTGTCTTCACCCTTTCAATTGGAACATAGAAAAATTTTATAGAGTAAAAATAGTGATAAGGAAAATGTTTCTTCTAGGAAATATGAAAATGTTCATGTAAATGTTTAAGATTATAAACTTGTAAGTAAAATTTGAAATTTGGAAGCAATGTTGTGTGATGCAAACAATTTGTTTTATTGCAACTAATAACATTTTATAATATCTTCTTAATTATTTACAGGAGAAATGGAATATGATCCTTTGTTTGCTGAAAGTGATCAGGATGATGTTGATGTTGTCTCACTTGAACAATGTCCACAACAGTCTGAAGCAAACATAGATGACCCATTGTATTCCTCATATCGTCATCGTCCCTCAACTGACACTTGCTATAGGCGAACTTGGACAGGATCTCAGGAACCGATGCCATATTACAGATTGTTTCCAGAATCTCGTATGGAGTGTGATGGAGCAATGGGTAGTACTGGCACAGATTCATACGATGCAGCAAGACGCAAGAGAGTCCTCAGGGAAGGCGATAGAACTGCCTCAACAAAACTTAAGGCAAAAAAGGGTGACCATTCCAGACATAGCTCTGCTGAGAGTGGGCCTTCAAGTAGTTTCCAAAATGGTCGAGAATCAGACAAACCATCTCGTCAGCATCACCAAATGAACATTCCAACATTTCCACCATCAAGTGGTGCACGCAAGAAGAACATTCATGTATCTTCCTCATCATCGTCATCTTCTCCATCGTCATCCTCATCCTCATCATCCTCCTCCTCCTCGTCCTCTTCCTCCTCCTCTTCTTCTACAACTGCTTCTACCTCCAGGGATAAAAACATGTTCCCTATGTTTACACCAGAAGGCATGGAGTCAGATTTAGATGTTGAAGCTCAAAATACTAGGAAACTTCAGAATGGAAAAGTGGAGCCACCAGATGAAATTCAGACTCAACAAACTTCTTCATCTATAAATGCATGTCCAGGTAATGTAATACTTTTAGAATTGTTATTCAAAGACGGTTTGATATTTACACCCTTTAAGTTACATTGTTTATAAGGAAGAAAAATAAATGTTACTTTGTAAGGAAATGGTAACCTTGATCTTTTGATTGTGCCCGATTTCTCTTCAGCAATAGGATCCTGCCATTCATTGCTGGTCATAAAAAAAGAAAACAAGTAACAACAAATACTCCAGGCAAAAAAGGCTCTAAAACGGCAAATAAGATAGGAGATAAAAGTACATATAGGTTGTGACATAATGTTAATAGCACTGCATACACGAACATTCCTGCAGCTTTTTTCCTGATGCATAACTTCATCCTTTTAAAATGAAATGGTGTAGAATTACATTCTCACTAACACTCAAAACAAACTTGCAGTCTTTCCTGCTCTTTTACTCAGTCATAAGAATCAATCCTTCCACCACTAACTAAAGTAAATGTGGCTGCTGATTCTGTCATGGCAGCAAAGCGCTTTCACAAAAAATGTTGGTGATTTCTCATCTCGCACTACGGAGTATAATTTCACCTTGTCCCTTAATAATTGTATAAAGATTGGTCAGGGCACTTCATCATAGCTTTCCTTGTAAACACTTTTAGGTAGACAAAAGTGAACCATAGTTATGTGAAAGTTAGTGGATATACCGTACAACCCCTTTTTTACGCTTTTCGTGGGGCCCAGGGAAAATGGTGTCAATTGCAAGAAGTGTAAATAAGGGAGAAACAATTTTTTCTTTTATACTAGGAGTACAGTATAATATCTTTAGATACTTACAATCAATAAGGATTATATTACGCTTTAATATGCATTATTAGATAATCAACTATATTACAACGTGAAATAGAAATCTGATCAAAATTTATGATATCAGAAATTGAAGGCTTATAAACCCGAAGCACAGTGAATTTTAAAGGTCGCAATGACACTTCCACGAATCCCTGCCAACCACTGATCATAGCCTTTGATATTGCAATAATTCACTATTGTTGGATGAAGGGAGAAATAGTATTTCTACTGGAAGAAAAAAGAAGCGAAGTTAACATTTTCCCAAACTCATAAAATGTTTCTTTCAACGGTTCGTAATGAAGATAATATAAAATAAACAAATCTAGCTCTACTACCTCTTAGGCCTCTTAGCATTGTGTTGACATGAGTCACCAAACACCGATGATGTCAGCTGCGTCAATGCCTGTGCTAACCTTGCATAACATGCATTTTAGATTAATACTAACTTATGCCAAGCAGCGCAAGTGCGCTCTTAACAGCATGCAATCTGCCAAAAGCTGAAGTAAGATGCTTGAGTTACAGCGTAAGTTAAGATAAAGTGCGTTTTCTTGCTTTAAACATGTGACGACCCCAAGATGAGTGTTGGCAACAACGCACATTGCCAAGAGCGCTCCTATTTCATTTCGCATGAAATACAGTGAGTCCACCACCCACATAGCAAGTGTGTAGGCTTCAATGCAGTTGGCATCGTCAATGCACATTGATAATTTTTTCTACCTTTTTAAATACCTCTATAATATTATGAAATAAAAATGTGTGTAGACCTTCGTTTTGTGCAACGTGATGTGCTTTCCAGAAGGTGTTGTGGCAAGCAGACTGTTGTAAATTGTGGGAAAATTGTAATTATAATATTGTATATGCAGGGTATATATTCCATTATAAACATTATATGCCAAAACCGATGAGACAGACAAGAAATGTAAATGCTGGGAAAACGTAAATTGCGGGAACATTAAAGCAGGATTTTACTGTATTTGAGAGGAGGTAGTGATGGGCCTGACAAATTTCTCTCCTAAAAGAATGAAGGTTAGAAGAGTCCAAGGTTTAAAAGCATTATTTGCCTTTGCCCTGATAAGTTTTATGAACTTGTGTAATTGGGGGTGTACTACCCATGTTACAAAACAAGGCAATTAAATTTAATTTGTTCAGAGAAAGGAATTATTACACCATAGATTTATTGAAACTTTGATTCATTGCTACTGGATAGTTGTTGGCCTCCAATTTTATTACATTGATAATTTTTTTACAAAGGTGACTTTGTGTAAATTCTTAATCTCTCAACACAACCACGAACATGTTCTGAAATTCAGCATCTTTCTCTGCCGCATCTGCCCTTTTGGGCATAATATAACATGCCAGGAAATAAATCACCACCAACAATTCTGGTGTTGCATCCCACTGGACTGAGCATGGTTGACTGTTAGAATATACGAATATGAATGAATAGAAAACTGTTAGAACCTTGTATGGCTAACTTTTCTTTTCCCTTGCCCTTTTCTGCGGGAATGAACATTTGTGTTTGGGGGCAATGTAGGTGGTCTCCGGCAAGTTAAAATATTGGAAGAATGAACTGAACTGAACATTCATGAAAAGATAGATGATAGTTAAAATTCAGATGACTGGCAAATATTGATATCTTTCAACATGAAATCATATCTGTAGGATTGACGTGTGTATTTACACATCCTCCGGTTGCTGCTGGTTGTTGAGATATCCACAGCTCTACAATAAAGTCTCAGACTATGTATAAAATGTCTGCAGCAGTCAAGTGGTTAATCATATACATTGTGTTGGAATTTCATTTCTATTTGTCATAAGATGCATCATCCGTTATGGTGAATGAGGAGTACTTATTCAATCATGGCACTGAAATGTAAAATTTCACTCTACTACAAAGTTAATACTAACTTAAATATAATGCAACTACCAAATTATGACATCTATTAACCCTTTGACTGCTCTGGACATGATATGCAGAAAATTTCTCTGCCTGAAAGCCTATGAACCTGTTAGCATGCGCACAGGCTGTTTCTGGGGGCCTATGGATGTGTGCAGAAGAGGGGGTCATTCTTGTTTTTGTAATCCCTTTTATGAGGGCCAGAAGATTCCTCAGATTTTAGCAGTATGTTTGTGTGGTTCAGCACACTATTTAATTGAAATTTATTGTTGCACTTTGTCACATAAAAAGACTTATAAACTTGATGTAAATCTTAGAACCAACAGTGGAATCTGATTGTGAATAAAATGATAGTCTGCAATATTCTTTAAAACATTGAAAAACTATAAAATTGAGGATAATTATCTGCTATTCACCAAACATTGCAACTGAAACTTTGCTAACAAATATTCATTTTCTATACCACTGATTCCAATACACCTAAAATCAAGGTATTTTGCAAATCTGCCATTGCTCCAAGGCCTTGTGAAGACATTTATGACTTGATGATATTACAGATCTGATAACCATAAGAAAACAGGTTTTTGAGGACTTTTATAGAGTTGATATTCCCCAGTCTTGTGAGGAATCAGTGTTCTGTTAACTTTGGGCACAAATTCCTTGATACGTAGTTTAAATAATACTGCATTCTTTTTCCAGACTTGTATAAAACATGCAATTTAATAAAATCATTTCCACACAGAACAGCAAAGATAACACTAATTTACAAAAAGATAATTGTTCTCATGTGAAGGAACAGCTGTTGAATTTCAAAATATTTCTTGTAATTAAAAAAATCATCACACATTATGATACAAAGTAGTAAATATTTTTCAAACGTTGTATGAAAGGGATTTAATTTATTTCAAAAGTTTGTCAAGAAAAAGAGTGAGTTAAGTTTTAAACAAAAAAGTGCAAAAGAAATACTTCAAATAAAAAATGCAACAATTGCAAGACTGGTTTATAGGAAATTCAGTGCATGGAAATAAGTTATTTGTGACACAAGTGGTAAAAGTTGCCTTTTATTTTGCAAGTAGGAAAGATTACGGCATGAGGCCAATAGGCAGAGTACTGCAATCCTAAAAGACAAAATAAAAGCACTTTTACCACGAGTCTCGTACACTATTTTTTGACAGCCTTACTGACGTTTTGTCCTTTTTGGTTATTTTGATCCTTCCACTCAGATGGCGGTATTGTTTTGTTGCACTCACAAATTTATTAAACAAGCGTCATCTCACTTTAGCGCTAGTGCCAAAAATTGAACTTTTAGCTATGCATGCCTTGAAAAAGTTTTTTTTATTAGTATCTGTAAAAAAAAAAAGAAAGAAAAAAAAAAGAGAGATTTTTATGTTACAAGTGAAATTAGTTATTTTTAATTAAATAAACTTTGTGGTTACCGCAAAAATCTTGCGGAAATCCATATGGGTAGGTAAAAAGAAGTAATCTTCTGTAATAAAAAATATATATACTCAATGCAGATCTTACATGCCAGCATATAAGTTGGGAGACCTTTACCTCATCATCTGTGCTCCCTATCAAATATATATAAAGGAATGTATTTCAAAAAAAGGTTAATACATAAGAACGAATATAGATTCAGATAAGAATAAAATGTGATATAAAATAAAACTTAACTCTTGCCCAAGCAACATGGTGCAAAGGATGACATTAAAATGTACCACCTAACGAGGCATATTGTGCTCAGGGCAGCTTTGGAAAGTAACTTCTTAAGCAAGGAGGGGGTATTTAATAAAGGACTGACATTGATTTATTTGTTAAGGTAGAAGGATTTTTCCCAATTTTTGAATGTCAAAGTTTTATGGTTATTTGAAATTTCTGTCCTTAGTTTTCAACTTGTAAAATTTTGAAATTTTTGTGGGCAGTCAGATTGGAATTATTGAAGAGGGGCTTCTTGTGTTCAAATGTAGCCTTTTTGAAATTTGTGTATAGTTTAATTAATGAAATAATTTCATAAGGATTTTTTACAAAGCTATTACCGTTCAAAATTGAAAGTAGAAAGACAAATAGCAAGTTCTTGGTGTTTCATTGGTTTATGTTCAGATGTTCTAGACATAAAGCAATATTGAAAGAATGTGTGAAAGATAGAAATAATAAATATTGTATGACATTGCAAATTAATTCTTATTGTGTTTCATGTCTGCTCCAAGATAATAGTAATATTAATAGTTTGTATTTTGATTTAGGTCCATCTGGCTTGCAGAGAAATTCTCATTGTGATCATTCTGAAGATGGGCCTTCGGCCCCTGATTTGCAACTGGATTGGCTCTCTTCAAGTAGTGATAGTGATGACACTGATGATGACAGTGGAATAGAGGTTATTGGCGGTGTAACTAGCAATACCAATAACAGTCAATACAAACAGTCTCCTCAGGCCACTAATGAAGTAAGTATCTAAGACCAATTGTGAAACTGGGTCACGTCAAAAGATTCTGTAATAATGAATGAAATTCAAATGAAATAATAATTTTTGTTTTCTGAAAATACTTTGAATTTTTAATTTTTCAGTTGCATTTTTTAAAACTAAATTTTTCTGTAGTGTGTGCTTCACCATAAGTAGGTACGCCTGTGATAAAATGCCAAAAATTGCCAGTTATTGCATTCGGCAATAAGTTAAAGAAAGAAATATGTGTGTAATAGAAATATTTATTTTTCCTTGCAAAAAGTCAAATAGGATGGTATTTTGTTGTTGTTTTCTTCTAGGCACGATGAACAATTTGTAACTAAAATCACACTGTGGTTTGTGTTTTTGGTGCCTCATTGTGGGGCACATATTGGGAATGAAAAAGATAATAATGAAATTTAATAATATTTTAAAGCCAAGTTGTGATCATGAATGGTGGCAGTTACAGGTTTAGTTAATAAGTGTGATGGACATTTTCTTTATTAGATCCTGTCTTTCATAGCGTTTTTTTAAATTGTTAAGCAGTTTCATTAGGTCATATTCGGCTTATGTTATTCATGCGAGTTGTTAAATTTTTACAGCATCCAGTCACTGTTGTGGACCTGACTCAGGAATCTGATGAGGAAATGTTTCCTGCATCTTCATCTCGACCAACTTACTCTACTTCAGCCACTAGAACAACACCATCAACTGTAATTACTGCTTCAACTCCTCCTCCTGTACGTTTCATTCCCTACAGTCCCCCTCCAAGAGCTGCTCCACCTCCCCCTCTGATTCGCTTCCGTCTCCCGTCCTGCCGTTACCAGTGCAATAGTGGAGAAGTGCAGGAGGTCCCTAATCATGAAGCAAACGAGCATCCTTGTAATGTGTATGGAAATTGCGTGCATCCAGCATGCATCAACCACAATCCAATATGGCGTCACACTCACCCTAATCCTCAGCCATCTCGATCATGCACAACTAGTGGGACTCATCCTTATTATTTAGGTGAGTGTGCCACATTGTTAGAAATTACTGAAATGTGAGATTAAAAGTTTTATTTAGCTGGTAATATAAATTAAGTATATTGAAATATGTCAATTTGTTTTCATCTCGTTGACAACCTTTTCATCTAAACAGTTAAGTGTTCTATTTGAGCATGCACACAATAGACATTTTATTAATATTTCCTTTTCTTTACTAACTGCAATGAATAGAATATTGTTTGGTTCTCAAGAATTGTTCTGCAAATAGTTTTCATTTTTATCTAATTCTTACTAATAGGTTGAAGTAAAATTGTTATTGTTTTGACTAGAAAATTACCTTCTTGATGACGTTACATCATTTTACCTGAACTCTTTTCACGTGTATCATTGTATCTTCCTGGATCTCTTGAATTTTGAGGGGCCCCGCTGAAAGTTTTGCATCTTGATATTAGGTTCTTTATCTTCAATCTGATGTCATCTAAAACCATCTCATTCTATTACCAGATTTTCTTCTTGGTACTCTTGTTCACAGCTTGTTTCTTTGACCATTGTTAACTTGAAATTTGCTTTGTTTAATATTTGCCTGAAGGAGTTGTGAGCTGCAAACTTTGATATCTCTGTAGAGAGTACAGCAAAATATCCAATGTTAGGTTTTGTTGTAGCTGTGTAAAGTTAATTGAATAATTCTATCTCTGGATGTAGAATGGGATCAATTTAAATTTTTCAATTTGATCTCTGCAAAAACAAATTAACATGTTGAACTGAATTGATGTGTTGAATTGGCTTTGTGCAAGCTTGTTGATTGGGACATCCTGAAACAAAATCTGTGGTTATTTTTGAGTTTTCACATCTTTTCACTTACTGCAATGAAATGAATGAATAACATAAATCACCTGGCTAATCATGGTTGATGCCAAGAATACATCTGTGAATGTACGTGGGGATTGCAGATGTGCATGCTTTTTTTATTGGATTTGCAGTTTATTAGTACATTTGAAAAGAAAGAAAAGGAGTGGGACAACAATAGACAACGGCCTACTTGATTTAATCTGTAAATATAAGGTGACTATTTCTTTAATGAGTAATTGTAGTGAAAAAACTCATCTTGAGTTCCTGGGAAGTATGGCAAGTACTACCTCATGAAAATTACTTTCCAAGGCCCCTACCATTCCTTCAGAAACTAAACTGTTTCACTCGTGAATCAAAAATTTTACTCATTTGTTCAAGAAAGTGTTATTGTGCTGGTATATGTAGAAGTATTATCGTACACGACCTCCATTTAGTGAGATGAGGTCTAGTAATAGTGGGTGTTTCGTATGTGATTTAGTTTTTGTAATTTTTATCTAGTTATGCGAGATTATTAATATTATGCCTTACAGTAAAACTTCACTTATACGTTTTGTGAGAAAACACAACTGAAATTGAATATTATGAGCAAAACAAAAACTCACTATTTTTAAATTGGTGTACTCCTCTTGGACCAACATTAGTTTTAATTTATTTAGTCAAAAGAGCATTAAAAACTATATGTGGCATATAGGGCAGAATGACCTCCCAACATTTAATTTATAAGTAGTTGAATGATGAGTAAGTTTCAATAGAGGCAAAGTTAGCAACTTCAAACCAGCATTTTCACTCCCAAGTTCTAAAAAACTTATTTGTATCGGTTAACAAACTGCAAATTGCTATTGCTAACAAAATAGTAACACTCACCCCTGGGCTCTATTCCTATCACTACTAACAAAAGGAGAACCTACATTTAAGTCCAAAAGCAAAACAAGGGGCCATCTCAACATTTGCTTAGTGGATTATGGAAACTGGGCGAGAACCTGACCGAGACCGGAAGCTGAAGTACCGGTCATTGATCTGGAAGCTGAAGTACATTACTTGTTACTCAAAGACACGAGGGACAGAGAATATGCATGCCCAGTGGAAAAAATAGCATTGATATTCACCCTTTATGCAGTCAGTCATTTAGGCCTGTGTTACAGGTGCGTTGCATTGACGCATGTCCCCTAACACTGATGATGTAAGCTCTGTCGACGCACTTTGATGCTTGCACAAATGAGCCTCTTAACACATGTTGTAGATAAACACTATCGTTTGCTAAACGACACACAAGCGGTCTTGGCAACATGTGTTATGCCTACAAGCATCATTGTGCCTCCATCTTCAGATATATTTTTCGGCTTTTATTGTTTTATGTCCATATTTGACAAAATTACGAATTATAATTTATGAAAGATAATTAATAATGCTTTCTGCTTGCACAATGTTTTCCTCTTTTTACAGTGATTAAAGTCATTTACTCGTGTTTTAAAATATTTATGTATTTTTATTCTAATTTTAGCCAAGAAATGTACCTGAAGATGGAGACACAATGATATCTTAAACGTAGTAGTTAAACACCAAATGGAGAAGTAAACTTTTAATTTTATTTAATGTGACTGTTTCCAAATATATCCTGGTTGACTATAAACAATTGGAACCTTGTATCAATAAAGTTATAACAGACAATCAATAAAATTGTAATAAAGTATTTATTTTGTTTAATGAATTTCCTCAATTACCGTAGAATTTCTAATGACATAGTCCAGAGTGATAGTGCCTGAAATTGTTAGCTTTCCAGTGGGGTTGTCTCGGGAAATCCACTAACACACCTCTTATTGGTGGTTTGTGTTTTTGCAATAGTGCATTAGTACAGTTCCTGTAGAAGAGTAAAGTGTTAAATGATTCTGATAGTCTATAAATTAAAGAATTTGACATTGTGGCTGATGAGGTAAAATACTACTCTTCGTGTATTCTCACTCTTTTTATTAAGCTTATGATGATACATTTTGGCCTAGTTACAACAAAAGGAATTTTAAATATCTTGTGCTTTCTAGGCAACATCATGGCCTATTTTATATTTTTATTTGTTTTAATTTCAGATTCTTCTCTTCAGAGGCTGTCACCCTTTCCTTATGGACAACCGTCTCAAATACACAATGGAGGCGGATTCCCTTATTTCCCATCACTACCTCCAACAGCCCATCCTCCTCGTATCTACCCTGTGCATGAAAGGTTGTGGCATGCCCAGCAGCGTATGCAGGAAATGCAGCGACGACAGCATTCAATACATATGCACAGGTAAGTTGTGTATTTTGAAAAGAAAAACTTGATTTCCAATCTCCCTCCCAACAAACTTCTGACCTTTCTAATGCATTGGTCAGTTTAAAGCAATGGAAGGAGCAAATTTGAATCAAGAACATACGAACAAAGTATTGATGCTATTTTGAATTGTTGATTTTTGCAGTAGACCCCGGGACAACATGTTTCTTGATGTTTATCAGCGCCCGATGCCTCAGTCGTATGGACCACTTCACACCCACAATCACTCCCATTCTCATCCTCATCAGCACCATCACTCTCACTCCCACTCCCACTCTCATTCCCACTCTCACTCCCATTCCCACTCACATTCTCATTCCCATAACCACCACCAGCCTCCACTGCCTACACCACAGCAACCAACGGTGTACAGTCGACCTGAAGTAGTGCCTACGCCTGGCCCCTCTGCTATGATGCCTCAGCCAGCAATGGTAAGACATCTTGATGTCAGGATAAATGGGTAATGCTGAGAGAATGGCTGAGGTTGAACCTTCGTTTGACACTTTATAAAACATGTTGCCGGCTTGTTGCCGTATGTATTGTTTTGCTGTGGTTCACTTTTTTGTTGCAACTTCTTAATTCGCAAAATGTGAAAACTCCTCTACACTTGTGTTAAATAAATAAATAAAATATTATTGGATCTTTTAAGGCTGTAGTTCTTATAAAATGTGATGTTTAACTCTGAGGTGAACGTGTTTAAAGTAAGTCATGCAGAGGGCACAATACATATGACAGTTGACATTGTTTTGTGCAGAGCCCTCTGGTCAAGCAAAGGTAAGCTTTTGCTAATCACGATAACTTTGAGCAAATCCAATGATAACTAAATGCAGACTTAGAGAAAACTTTTAGCATCTTGACTGAGCGAGGAAAGTCCAAGTGAAACTTCAAGGACTCCCAACATTTTGCCGGGTTGAGGGTTGAAAAGTGAACAGCGAAAGGAAAGTATCAGAGCGACTAAATTTCTCTTTGTGAGGCAGTCCCTTAGAGAGTACCAACCCACCTTGCAACGCTCTCTAGTGATGTATACAGAATTTAAGAAACCAATTTCGGTCATTCCTACTTGGAGGAGACTGATGATTGGAGTAGGCAATAAGCATTCATATTGTGAAAAAGCCTCAAATTTACTGGTACATCTGCAACACCAATATTGGGCATAATGGTATCAAAATATCAAGTGAATGTGCAGGACCACACACAGATACTGCTAAAAATTATATCAGAGATCAATTGGCTTTCTTGAAATGTATTATAAGGGGAATGTCCTTGAGTGTTTATATATCCAGAGGCTCCTCTTGCTAACACGTCCAGAGCGGGTGAAGGGTTTGTTCCTCCATCCATAACATTCACCTGCCACAAGGGAAATTAAAGTTTGGTGACCATGACTCTCATGAAACTCGTTTGTAGAAGAAAAATAATCGAATTGGGAAATTATTATATACTTTATTGTCTGAAAATGTTAGTATTTGGAGGGAATTTTTGTTTTAAAAGTTTAATTACAAGTTAATGAAAGAAGTTGTAAAATGGTGCAAAACGAACAGATGCAGTGTAGTCAGTACAATAAAGCTGAACCCTAAATAACTTCTGTTATATGGGAAATAAATTAATGATATGTTTTTTTTTGTGTTTACAGGTTCCTGGTCAGTCTGATGTTGATCTTCTGTCCTCTGTTCCTCCTCATAGTTCTATTGTTCCTGATATACAGACTGAGATAGTGGTTAGTTCACCACCTACTATGGGCATGTAAGTAATAATGCAGGTTTTTTTCTTTGCCCTGAATTTGTTGGGTTGACTATTAACAATGAATTCTGATTTGTATAGGGACAGTACACATCAGCATGTCCACCATCACCTTTATCATTATCACCAACCTGGCCACCGAATGCATCATCTTCATATTAGTATCGCCCCAACAGTTCCGATGGTAAGACAAATTGATGTTTACCCTCTTTCATTTAGTGAAAAAGGGAACTTTTCTTCTTCAAAGACCAACAAAAATTTGTATTCTTTTACTATTCTACTAGGAATGTTTTTGCACTCAGTTTGTCTTATAATGCAGAAAAGGGATAAAGTAAAACCCTGTTTTTCCCCCGCATTTTACATTTTCCTGCCTTTTACGTAATTTTTCCGTTGGTCCTATCGTAAAGCCTATATTTACAATGCTGTCTCTTCCCACAATTCACAACTCGATATGCAGGGTGCTTCCTGTCTTTTGGTCATTTCTTTCTTTTTATTTTTTTACGTTCTTGTATGTATGTATAGACACACACACATATATATATACACACACATATACACACACACACACACATATATATATACACACACACACACACACATATATATATATACACACACACACACACACACACACACACATACACACACACACACACACACATATACATACACACACACACACACACATATATATACATACACACACACACACACACACATATATATACATACACACACATACACATATATACATAATGCAGAGGAAGTTGTATAATGCTGCGGCAAAAAACAGTGATTTTTTGACAGAAAAACTAATACCAATACAGAAAAGTGGATAAATCCTGTTCCAATTGATAGTAAATTACTACATATGTATGTAACAGACTCTCAAATGCCTCAAGTTCGTTCAGATCAATCAAGGAAAATCAATTTTGGAGAAAATTGGCAGGCGGTTTAGGCACTCTCGTTAACCTCAGACGGACAAAGAGACTTTTTGCTGTCAATAAATTTTGCAATTTCAAGGTCCCATGAAACGGATACACACCACATGTTAGAGGAAGTAATTTACTATATGTATGAATATGATTTATTCACTTTTCATTACCAGGACTTGCTAATAAGAATTTTTCTAATGAAATTCACCATTTCCAGTGCATGATTTTACTTTCTCTTCTTATAAAGGGCTACAAAGTAAAAACAAAGCCACCATTGCCGTAAATAATAAAAGTACGTGCCTAGCCTATCACTTTCCAATTTTCCCTTTATTTTTACACTTTCCTGCAATTTACACTTTTTGTAATCGGTCCCCTGAAAATGTAAAAAATGGTAATTGTACCGTAACTGGCTAATAGTAATTGCAAGATACAAATATAAAAGCTTGAAATATTTTACTGGCATATTTGTGTAGTTCTTTTTTAATGTCGTGTTGTAGGAAGTGCTGGAAAAAGGAATTTATATTTCTTATTTTAAATTTCATTAGTATTTTAAAATGTTTTAATTTTGTTATTTGTACCAACAAATCTTACCCAAGATTATGAAACGAGTTGTATTTTGATGAATGAAAGTGGAATTTATATATTACTGGAGTATCAAGAGCTTATTTTCCAAATTTTAAAAAATGGCTGAATTAAGATATATCTTGTTACTTTGTTCTGGTAGATTAAAACAATTTTTTACTTTTCATCAGGCTCCTGGAGGTCAACGTCCTCAAGAATTGGTTTTCCCCCCTGCAGTTCTCCCTGCTGAGCTCATGCCATTCCCTTTCCTTGCACGTCACATGACAGCTCGTCTTGAAGATTACATGCGAGTGGTAGAGCAACGACGACTTGCTCAAATGAATCGTGGAGCTAGCCAAGATACCATTGAGAGATACACGTTCCCTCACAAATATAAGCAGGTAAGTTATGATGTTGGCTATAGATCCCTCTTCTGTCTCATACATTTTATTAGTGATACCTGAAAGACAAAATAATTAATATTTTGTAAATCTAAATGTATCCACATAAACAGAAAATGCAACATGACAAAATGCAATATTTATTTTGTCTTCACAGATGAAACGAAGTACTGATGATTCTGAAGATACCACAGAGAAGTGTACCATTTGTCTGTCAGAATTTGAAGACAATGAGGATGTAAGGTATGCGATTTTAACTTAATTCTTTATTTTGCTATTCATCATTTATTTTTGGATTGGTTTTGTTAATACATTTCACTTACATTTTTTTTATATATATAACAATCGCCAATATTTGAATATATACGATATTTATTACATTTACTCATAGTTTGCATATTGTAATAACATGTTTTTCAGAAATTATTCAAATTGTTTTGACTACCTTTATTTAAATGAACATTATTTTTATTTACTAGCCTTATTTACATGTGCCAAAGTGAGCCATTATGCCAAATATTATTTGTCACTATAGGGGTGTGAAATAGAACATTAGATCTAAAATTCTGTGTAGGGATTTACCACAAAACAATAGATATAACAAATATGGACAGTCAGCTTTAGTTTGAGAAAGGTTGTATAAATACAGTATGTCGTTAAGATTTTGATAAAATGACAAAGGAAAAAGCTTCAAAATTTCAACTATTTGTGAATAGTCATTCTTTTCTAGGTAATGGGAGTTTTAGTTTCCATGCTCAAAAGTAAAATAATTGTTTTGAATTGATTGAATTTTATCTAAGAATGAGACCAGACAGAAGAAACATATAATGAAATTGGTGTAATGATTGTGAAATATAGAATTTTCAATTATTTTGGATTAGAGAAGTCTCTCATATTGCGTTTTACAAATCCCAGGTTATGTAAAGCCCTGTTTTATGATCAATATGAAAATTATTCTTAATTTTTTGATTGAAGATGACTCCTAGATCTTTAAAATGTGCGACAGGTTCAAAGATAAGATTATCAATATTAAAAGAAGAGTACTATTGGTGACTCGCTTCAGAACTTTAACATTTTACATTTTGATACATTCAGGGATAATTTGTTTCCCATACATCACAAGTACAAGTGATTTAAATCTTCTTGCAATAAGTCTAATAATCATCTATTCCAGATATTGATGTGTTAAGTTTCAAATCATCCACAAATAAAAGAATGTCACTACAAGTTAATTGCGATGCTATGTCGTTTATATGTACAAGAAATAAAAGCAGACCCAAATGGGTACCTTGAGGGACGCTGGAAGTAAAAGTCATTATTCTCAATATATAATATTTATGTTTCACATATTGAATTGTTACTCAAATAATTTTAGCCAACATTATTAGTCTTGTTAGCCAAATTACACATTCTGTTCAAGGGGTTGTTTGGAATATAACACGATATGTAGAATTTATTTATTTGTACATAGTGCAGCAGAAACTGAGATAGCCAAAGTTGTCATATATTTTACAAAGTTGCAATTAGTTTACAGTGTACTTATTTATTTTCTAAATATATGAACATGCAAAACAATCCTGATAATGTACAAAAAAGTCTCTGATAAAGTTCAAAAACCATCATGGCATCTCACAGCCATTTATTAGTCTAGCAACTTTTCTTGAACAATGGATTGAAGAAGTGCAAGTATAGTGGGGGTATTAGTTTCGAAATCGGCCACTAGATTTTATGAAGCAAGGCCAATCTTTAGAGAATCAGTCATGTGTTCGCAACTTTCTCAAGAAAATAACAGTTCTTGTCTTCAAAAGAAAATTGTTTCTATTTTGTGCCTGTGAAGATGTTTGAAATGTCATCCGTGCTCGCTGTGAGCTTTTGCAACTGTTTGTGCCAGAGAGGGGGAAGCAAGATCATTGTTCAAGAAAAGTTGTGCGAGTAATACCTGATTCAACTGAACAAATTATTGCACCAGTTCAGAATTAAAATTCTGAATTTATTCCATAAATAACTTGAATTTTGACTTTCTTGTGTTCTACTTTAATGTACTATAAACATATAGTACTATTTGGTGTAGAGAAAGTATTTCAGTGAATAGTGCTGGATTTTATTTATTTTTTTGACAGAAAAACACATTTGATATTGAAAAAGTGAATATTTCCTGCCCTTATATAAAGTAAATTACTTTCTTGAATATGTAGTGTAGTCAGAATTAATGTTTTGTGGCTCCTTGCAACTGAAAAATTGTTTTCATATTTATAATATAAACATGGTTTTTGTGTGTTTTTTTGCGCAGGCGTCTGCCTTGTATGCATCTCTTTCACATTGAGTGTGTTGACCAGTGGCTGGCCACAAACAAGCGCTGTCCAATCTGCCGTGTAGACATTGAGACTCATCTGAACAAGGACTTGCCCTCCACTTGACAATTGCTTGAGTGCCTAGGCTGTGACAAAGCTGTGTCTTCAGACTGAGCCATCCAGCCCAAGCACTTGAACTGCTTAAATAATATTGGGTTGCACACACAGCTTTATTATTGTTATTTCTTCCAATATTGGCAGTTCTAGTATAACAAGATTGCTGTGTCTAGTTTCTATGAAATATTTCTATATGCCTTGAAAACGCAGTTGAAGTCTATGATGCCATAAAATTAAATAGCATGGTCAGTTTTTACAACTGTGATAGTATGATACAGGTTAAAGTAGAATGTGTGGTTATGTATCCTGCAGTAGAGAGAGACAATTACATATTTTTTGTCTGAATAGAGTATAGAATTGTGTAGCTTGTATCATAATTTTCTTTGAGGTTAAAAGGCATAGTAGGTTTTTGTTAATTTATTGGCGATTCTCTAAGATTTTGGTAGATTGAAGACTGTACAGCTTAATTTTCTGTAAAAATTTCTTCAAAATCCTTTTCATTTATTTTATTGGAAAAATATTATAAAAAGTGGAGTGTTAACTCAGTTTTGTTGGATCAACAGCAAAAAGAATTTAATAATTGTTTATTCTTTCTCGTGGAACTCATTCACCATTAACAGAAATTTGCAGTACTTTTAGCATTCTCTCCGGGTTAGCTTAATTGAGAATATAGGTTTTGAAATATTTGAAGAAGTACTACTGCTGAGCCTGATGTGGAATGTTTATGATATTTTTAAAATATTCTTTATCTAGTTAATTCTGTGTGTTAATTTCATACTCATGAAGTGAGAAAAAAAAAACATAACAGGAGTGGTGCAGTCAGTATAATGTGTTTCATTTGTTATATTCTTGGAGAGTCGCCAATATATAGATGAAAATGAAAACAAACAACTTTTACCATTTACATACTGTTGTACTTACTTCATTTTTACTCGTATGTTTTTATTTACAGTAATGGGTAATTTTCATTACTGTTCAGTAATGAAAACAAATCTTTAGTACATTTGTGAAAGAATTGATTATAAATTGTTATTTTTAAAGAGGTGAAGAGAATTCGTTGAGTACAATGAATCCTGCTGTGAATGTTAAAAAGGGTAAGCAAAGGAAACTTTTTCTTCTTAATTTCTTTCTTTTTATCTTACCTTTTCAATTATTTTTATATGAAGCTATTTATCAGCAACATACATTTATTGCTGGATTCATTTATTTATATTCTTTAATGAAATAGAAAATATTTTATTCCCAAAGGTTTTAAATCATGTCTTCATTTATACTTTGCATATCATTATATACTGATTCTAGTAATTTGTTTTCCTCTTGTTTCTGTTATTCTATTTCATAGAAATTTATTATTGTTTATGAAAACACTCAGCCAAATAGTAAATTGTTGTTCAGATGTATCAATCACACTCTTCGTGATGCTTAAGTCTCATTTTACCTTTTCCTGAACTAATGTTAGATGGTTTTAGTAAGTTTTTGATGACTCATGTTTATTCTGTTGTTTTTAGCCTTTGATTTCATGGGGTTTCCAGATTCCTGCATGTGTAGAATGTTCATGTGAATTCTAAATTAATGACTGTCTCTGGGAATCACAACATATTTTATGTTATACTGGAGGCAGTTTATGAAGTTATTTATCCTGCAGTACTTTGCAGATGTCCTAACTCCTAAGAAAATTTAAAAGTTGCCAGTGCTGTGATATATGGCTGTTTAAGAGCCTGTTATCTCTCGAAGTAGCCAAGTGTTTATTCTTTAAACATTGCTGTATTATTTGTTGTATGGAGGTGAAAATATCAAAAGAAACTAGATTTCATGGCTGGAATCCAATCTTATGAAAGTTGGTATTTTTTCCCCCCCTCATTTTTCACAGAGGTCTCCTAGCAATATTCATTGTCTAAAGCATCCAACGTGACTGGGATTGAGCCAGCCCGTCATGTAATTAATGTTTGACGTGCTGTTCAAATGGATAGCATTATATAGGCATGAAGTGTAGTTGGAAGTTGCCCGCCAAATCCTTGCTGTTATGGCCATACCACTTAGAAATCGGAAAATTAAAAGAAAATTTAAAAAATATTGCTCACTCCTTTTAGTGTAAGTCTGATGTTTTACTCATCAGGATAGATTAGTTTTCTATCTGGTGATTTTCATGAAAGCCTTTCTTCTGGATTTTAATAAATGGTTCTAAATCTATGAGCAATGTTATTCCAATTTTAAATTAATATTGCTGTCTTGGAATTAACTTAAATTAGCAATGAATGGTTAAACATTTCCAGTTACATATCAATTTTTGACCTCTGCTTACCTTCAGTATTTCAGGCAATACTATATTCTTATCTCATTTTCTTCAAAATTGGACAATATATTTATTGATGATTGTCTAATGTTTTATTTATGAACTTACATAGTAATGGCTAGTGATCAGGTTTATTATCCTTGGTATAATCTGTTATTTAAAATGAAAATTAATTTTCAACATTTAATTATTCTTCATATCTACAAAGTCCTTATAGCATTTGTGTACATACGAAAACATTTGTGCAGGCAAGTGCACAGAATTTTCAGTTTTTGACTTCATTTTGTCGAGAGTTATGATACATGTTTACAACTTTACATTCTGACTTTCTCTCTCTCCCCTCCTCAGCAATGGGCTGAACTTCAAACTCTAATGTAACTTTTAACATGATCTTTCTTCTTTTTTTTCCCTTTAATTTTTTGTGTTCCAATTTTTCACCTTGTTTTAATTTTATTTTAGAGTTTCATGGTAAAATATTGAATGAGTTTTTAATTATTTATGTTTATTGTAATGTTCTGACTTGCCAATTCAAGGTATTGTAATCTTGAGGTCTGATACTTGCATTTATGTATTACAATACAGCTCCTTTATGCAAAACACCAATGACAAAATTGTGATATTCATATCAGTTGATGATGCAATTTAATGTATTGTTAAAAAGCTAATATTTGACATAAATTGCTTATAATTTTATTTCTATGTATTACGCAAATGTTTCACTGATTGTGGAATGAGGTTTTGCCCAATATCATGAATAATCAATTGTGTTGTCCATTTTCTGATTTTTTTCTAAAAAGATTTGAAAGAACATTTTTACAAAATTACAGAATTATTTTATGGAATATAATTATTGTTTTGTGTTGTTACTGTTGCATTATTTTTAAGCTGTCTTCACAATCAAGGCCTCCTTTTTATTATTGCTTACTAGACTTGTGTGGTATTAAGTGGAAATTTCAATAATGTGTATATCCAATATGTGGTGTGTGCATATTTATATTGAGTAATGGATACGCTTGTGCAAATTTCTGCACATATGATACCTGTATATACTGTTTTAACCAAACCAGAAATATGAAATTAAATGCTAGTCTGTGCTGATCTTCCTGTAATGTAAAAATATAATTTCTCAGGATTTTGTTTTTAAGTTACGTAGCAGCTTTAAAATAGAAACATGGGTTTAGAGTGACAGTAAGATTTACTTAGCATTTTCTTCAGGGCAATAGAGGATTGATGTTACTGATCTACATGCTTAAAATTATTTTCTAACTAATGTAAAATACTTTTTGTATCCTGTAAGAAAAATGTATTTTGCTTGAAACACTACATACCAGTAATGCCATGTATTGTACATAGGTCCTGATCTTGCTCTCTTAAGTGAGATAAGCAGTGCTTTTGGTACAATTACTGTATAATAATTTTCTACTTTACTATTCAGCCAGTGATGTATATATTTATATTCAGTTTTTGGTTAGTAGTTTGCCTGAATGAATGTATACTATGCTAAATGCTTTGGAAATGACTTATTAGCTGCTGTAATACAAGATTTTGGACGTGAATGTAAGAATTGTTGTATGTGAGATTTAGTTTGTATGATGTGAGTGAATGTTTGTAGTTTATAATTTTTTAAATATAAAAACTGCAAATAGAAATCTTATGGTTTTCTTATAGAACCACAATTTTTTATTTGCTCACTGATGTGTTCGGGAAGAGTTTATTATTGGCATAATGCGGTAATTATTGCAGTGAACAGCTAAACTCGCTGAAAGATATAAACTGGCGATTTGTATTGTATTAGTTTACAGGGAGTTCACGTTTGAAGTATCTATCTGTAGTATAAAATATAACTGTTTTTCAACCAATAAACATTAATAAGTGCAATACAATGCATTTAATCTTGAATTGTACATTGATGATTTTAATTATGTCATAAATTCCTATTTATGGAGGTATATCACCTGTCTTCCATTTACAAAAAAATTATTTCAATAATAGGATCTAATCTTTTAACTACCTAGTAGCTGAGCACTGATATAAATTTATATATTCTTGTAATTTGTTATTGCACAATTTGTCTGTGCCTAGCATCGCCATTTTAATTTATCTTCTGATTTAGGAATCAACCTTACATGAATTGATGTATTGTGTTACCCTCTTTTAATTGTATAATACATGTCTGGACAGTGAAAGTGAATGGTTCAGCATTATTATTATTATTATTATTATTATTATTATTATTATCATCCCAGTTGCATAGTAGTGGTTACCTGGCTTGTCTGCACATGTCTTACATGTGTCTTACTATGTTACTTCACTGCCTTTACTGTGGATCTGATGTGTGATGCCAAAGGAGGTGCAGCTGCATCAAAATAATTTTTGAGGCAATAAATTCTGAAATTCCTTTGCTGCCTTTTCAGTCATTGATTGCTCAGGGCCAATTGAATAATGTGTAGTGCATTACTTTGGTGCAAATGTGTATCGAGCTGGTCTTTTGCATATACATTTAGTGAATTAAATTTAATTTTGTTTCTTGAAATTGAGTAATATCCGAGTGGGGGTTTCAAGTCAATTGGTAAATAGTAAAAGATATATCCCTCATTGATATGTATCTGCTGTAGTAGTTACGAATGTCAAGAATTGAGATAATATTCAAAACCTAATTATACAACATTTATAAATAGCCTAAATTTGTTTACAGTGTGTTTGGAAAGTGTAAATTATGTACATAAAATTAGTGCAAAATTGTGACCTAGATGTGGCTTGTGTGTATTAATGCTATTCACTATAAAACTTTTTGTTTAATAGACTATGCTCTGTGTTCTGTCTCCAAGAGAAGCATTAGTGATTTGTAGCTTGAGCTGTGGGATAATTTCTCATTGTTTTTCTTTTTTCTTCCCACTACCCTTTACATTTTGTGTGTCTTACATGCCTCCTTTACATTTATTTAAATTTTCGTAGTGGCTGCTAGTTGTGTATTTAGAAGTTTGAAAAAATTTCTTAAGTTTTTGTTGAAATCGGATATGAATGAGACTACAGCAAACATTTCTATGATCTTTGTGAGATAATTTTTAATGCAATGTGTATTTCACATACATTTCATTACAATGTAATTCATATTTGAAACACCTGCACATGCCTCTCCTGTTTTATTCTTTTTAAATTTTACATTTGTAATTTATTCTTTAAGTTTTAAGTACAAAATATCAAATCATCAGTTTTGATATAAAATTTGACTGGGTACTTATAGTGGTGCTAGGGTTTGCTCAACCCCTAGGGATGGATTGTGCCATGCTAGTGCCACATCACAATTTTCACATCTTGAAATGTTCATATTAATGGGAAGGGGGGGGGGGCTTTCTCCAAAGCTTGCTCATCAATTTACCCCCGTTTACTGGGGATAAATTGACGTTCTCTGTCCAAAATATTAGCAATTACGGAACAGTTCTTCGCTGTAATACGTAAAAGTATTGTAGCACGGTATATAAAAATATTTCAAGTCCATTAAGCTGGCCAGCCCAACTAGTGCCAGAATTATTTAACTAATTTATTGCCGTGAAAACCAATTTTTCGTTGATCGGAAATTGGGAGTGTCTCGGTTCCCTTTGGTTCCTTGACGTCATCGTTCCATCGCGCGGAGCAGAAAAACAAACTGAATGGATCTTGAGGGGATTTATGAGTACATGTGTAGAATATAAAGAACATATACCCGCCAAATGGTTTTTAAGATGAGTATTCGTACAAAACGCGTTGGTAATCATGCGTTGGACAGACTCAAGGATGTTTTTTGTTAACGCGAGGGCCGAAGGCCCGAGCCTCGTCCTTATCTTCAAATTTTCGTTGTTTTGAAACCACTTTCAATACTGTTCGTTGCCTGGTCGATACACGGCAAATATCGCAGTCTGAGTGAATTGGCGGAAGGTTATTTCCAAAGCGGAATTCCAGAGAAAACGAAATAATTCCCTCAATATTACAAGAATAGCCACGCTGGTTGGATATATAATTTTGGCTAGATTTTTACTATTGCCAAGACAAACTAATATATAACAAATTTTAAACGGTTACTTGAACATTAACGAACTTAAAGATTTGCGAGTTGATGATAGTGTCAAAACCTTTAAAGAGTTCAATTTCTTTTCGATATTATATCACTGTGCTAATTTAATTACCGAAAGATTTTTATATTTCTGTGATGAGTGACGATTCTATTGATTTGAATTTTACGAGGACGGTGTATCGAATTGAATTTGTGTTCCAAATTTAATTTATTCTATATTTTCAAGGTAAATTTTCAGTTAATATCATTTATCTATCTACGGTAAAGTATAGTCTACTCATTGTATTGAATAGTTGCAGCTTAAGTGGACAACAATCTACACCACCACACTGCCAAATTTTGTAAGTACTAGCTTCAATTTCGTAAACACACTTTCTCATTCTAGGATCGAATCATAATTTTTTAGTTTATTGAATGTATATCAATCTTACACTTTAAAAACATTAAGGTAACTGCTTGTTTCTCATATCTGA